ATTAAATAAAAAATAAAATTAAAAAAAAACCAAAAAACAAAACAAAACAATAAAAAGTACTGATCTGTGGTCACATAACTGTAACACCACAATAAAGTTTAACCAAGAATAGCTACTTGTTAAGCTGTCACAAAGTGAAGCCAGAAGCCATTTTCTGACTCCACCATCTTGCTACTTTTTTTAAGTTCTTCCTCTTTCCCTTCTGTTCTTTATTTACTTAGTATTCTTTCTTATTTACTGTTGTTGCCTGCTCCCTAGAAATACACTGACAAGTTTAAAGTCACAGTTTTACTGTGTTAGAGTTGGATGACCTTGCAATTGGCATTTAGACTGAGGGCACACTGATGGAGTCAGATCTCTTTACAACAGATTTCCTGGTCCCCAGTGTGTATCAAAACTCTAATTTTATGAAAAGAAACGAAATCTCTAGCTCATTCCTATCCTATAAAACCTTAAAGTATTATAAAAAAAATTAGAATACCTTAACAGAATTTGTTCCTCAGAGTAACTAAAATCACTATCATTTTCTCCTTGTAGCCTTGTATAAACTGATCTGTGATTAAATGAGTATCACACTTTAATCTTAACCTAATAAATCTAATCAAATTCAAACAAAATTTTGAATGATGTCATCAATAAACTGAGTGATTAATTCTTAAAAGTTTAGAAATATGTTTAAAAGCTAATTTTTCAAATACATTTTAATGTTTTAATTTATAAATGTTCACACAATTTTTCAGACATATTAATTATTCATTGAGCTATACTAATTTATACTTAATTATTTCATCTTAACAAAGCAAACCTAATTTATTCCCAACCTACTGACATTTGGCGACAAGTCAGAACCAAAAAAATTTTAATTGCATTAGCAAAGAAGTGTCAATTAAAAAATCTCAAATTGAATTTCATGTTAAAGAAAATAAGAATTAAAATCTGGAATATGCAATAGCTATTTATCAAAAAAAAATACTGTTGTCCATCCACAAATATTTCAATATAGCTCACTATTTCTTTTTTTTAATTTAGTTTTATTTTTTTAATGGTAGTACTGGGGATTAAATCCAGAACCTCCTGTGAGCACATGCTCTACCACTGAGCTATACCCCACCCTTGAGCTCACTATTTCTCAATAAGAACACCATTGGCATCTAAGGTGAATGTGAAGGACTGTGCTGCACAAGAAAGGCACTTAGCATCCTGTTCCTGCGCCTGTTAATGCCATAGTGCTCCCTCCTTTCTAGTCACTGTAACAACCAAAAATAGCCCCACAAAATCCTGAATACTTTCCCTATAGGTGTTACACAATATCAACCCCTAGCTGAGAACAACTAGTAACACCGCAACCTTTTTCTCTATTAATGAAAATATCTCTAAATGCAGGCACCCAGATTTCTGCCTTAACATATAAAGTATATTAAACATAATTTTAACATTTCTTGATGACAGAAGGTCTTGACTATGAACAGTGACCATTATGTGCTACTACAATATAATAAAGCTCTTAGAAATTAAAGTGTGTTTTATGTTTGGACCTGTATTAACTGACCTCAGGCTGTTTTATTTGAACACAGTAAGAGAGCTACTTGAAATATATACTGCTTTATATAACCTTCCATTTAATTATTTTTGGCCAAGATTATTTCTTCCTAAACTGTCTAAATCTACCATTCTTCCTGAACTAGAATACTTTCCATTTGCTAATGACCAAAATTACTAAATCAAAAGCCTGAACTGATAGATGAAGGCTTGAAGATGGCTCCAGGCCTTCCTAAGAATTAAAGTGCATGGGTGTGAAGATAGCTACCTTCTAACTTACTTCTGGTTTTGTAATTGTGCTATGACTGAAAACTCCAAAGATCTGACAACTGAATAAATCATACATTAACAAAGAGTTATTACTAAATAACCAACCTTCAGGACTAAAGTATACAACTATATACAACAAAATACTCTAATCAAGTATTATAATTACTAATAATGTTTAAATAACTCACCTGATTTCTTTTAGTCCTTCTCTCTGGATAACTTGAAGAATTTCTTTATGACTCATGGGTGTATTGGGGTATTTTTCTAAGACCTGAGAAATAAGTATATGATAATAAATTATTTCTTCTTATTTTAAGTTCTTATTATAATTACATACATAATTGTATTTCTTATTCTTATTACAACTATGTACTAACTTCATCCAGCACATACAAATTCAGAGACTTTTCATCCCTTATATTTTAGGATAATAAGCAAAAAATTAATGTAATACAAATAGGCTCTTCTCTAATCAAATCCTTAAGCAGAAATAAATTTTAAAAATAAGATTAATAATTGAATTATTGTTAATGCATAATATGATATTATGTTTATTCTCTGCCTCCAACCCCTGCATCATATGCCTACCTGTAAACTTACTGGAGGCACCTTAAAGATTATCCATCTTTAAATTTCCAGCAAAGTTTAGTACATCTTGGATGCTCAGTAATTTCTTAACCAAAACAAATTACCAAAACAGTTATAATGAAATGACAATGGTATCTGTGTTCTGACTCTGGTAGAGACGACGTTAAGCATAGTTTATCCTGT